GATAGATAGATAGATAAAAGAAACACACTCAAGGGAAAAAAAAGGAAGTATGCAACTTACATGGAAATTAATGACTTTACAAAGCCTGTATCATTGCAAACACATAATACCTCAGCTCATCAGCCTATAGGAACAGAGTTACTGTTAGCGTCTACCTAAACTAACAAATGTCCTTCTTGGAATCAAACCAAAGTGCTACAGAAAGAAAGAGAAAAATTTCAACAGTGATGTTTCTAAGGACGACTTTAAAGTCTGTTGCCTTATTTTAGTGAAGCCCAGAACATTTGTGGACAGAAATACCCTTTCAGCTGTGGCAAAAACACATTTCTAACGCACTGCACTGATAGCTCTCCATGTTTTTGCTACTCTTTTACAAATCTGGCACCATTCTCTCAACCACAGGTCAAAAACAGAAAAAAGTCCATAAATGTCCTTAGATAAAAGACTTCCACCACATGTGTATAACACAAGAAGGATGCCGACAGCTGGAAGAAAACAGCTCTAGATCCAACTGAAAATGTGGGGACGAGGGTATCAGGAAGACTTAGGAATCTTAATTCTATGCATTAAAATCTTACCATAACTCCAAGAGAATGCAGCAAAATATAGTCATTATTAAGCTAAGGTGCTGAATGGAAGACTAACCTGTGCTTGCTCTTAAACAAAAAGATGGTGTTCATGTCACCACTACTAGAAAGGTGTGTTTCACTATCTTGAACTCCTTGACAAAAGCCACCTTGTTGATGTTATATGAAAACACTCTTTAACCCTGAGATTATAGCAGGAGGCTAGGCCAACTGTTGAAGAAATATATTCCACAAACTCATTTGTTTTCCTATCATGTGAGTCAACAAATCACCCAGGTTGCCTCTGTGTAGGGCCACATTGCATAAAGGCTTCACCAAAATCCTAATGCTATGTTCCCATCTTCATCTTGGGCTACCTGGAGTCCAGCAGGTTGTGGGAAAGGATAACAAAAAATGGCTGGCTACAACTACAATCACCCTTTCTTCACTCACCACTTCCAAAGGATGAAATAAATTCTAAATGGAAAGATGACTAAGGTCTCAAAGGATGTGGCCTTGCCTTTCTCAAAGCACAAAATGATCCATGATGTGGCGCACGTAGGAGTGACAAGAGCGGTCAGTGCCACTGAGGAACGTCCCATTTTATGGAGTCAAACTTGCCTGTCAAGCACATAGCTTACTATTTTTATTTTGTAAAGAAAGACATAAACTGCTAAAATGGAGTAAAATGTTTTTACTGTTAGGTGCCATTAAGTTGACTGTGACTCACAGCGATCCTATGAACAACAGACCTGCACCATCGTAATGATCTCTGACAGGACTAAGTCCATTGTTGCAGTCACTGTGTCGATCCAAGCTGCTGAAGACGTTCCTCCCTTTCCCAGCATGATGACCTTTTCAAAGGCCTGGCTCCTCCTGACAAATGTCCAAAGTATGTGAGGTAACATTTCACCATCCTTGTCTGTAAGGTTCCCTAGTTACACTTTCTCCAAGCCAGACTTGTCTTTTGGCAGTCCATAGCCTAGTCAGTACTCTTCTCTAAGACCACAATTCAAAAGGCATTGGTTGTTCTTCTGTCATCTTTAATAACTCTTCAACTTTCAAATGCATAAGAAGCAAATGAAATGACTATGGCTTGGATCAGGCACACTTTAAACTGACATGCTGTATTCTTGTAGTAAAACCAACTCATAGCTGATCCTCCAGTGGATTTTCAGAGGCAGTTAATCACATGGGAAGAGACTGTCCATCTTTCTCCTGAGGAACAGGTGGTGGATTCAAACCACGTGCCTTTGGGTTGGCAGCACAATTCTTTAACACCAAGAAACTGATGTGCTGTTGTTACATGCAATCAAGCTGAGAACAACTCATAGCAACTCTATGAACAGCCAACCTGAAACTTGTCCTATCCTGTGCCATTCTCATCATTTCTGAGACCTTAGAGCCCATTGCTGAATCACAGTGCCAATCCATCTCGTAGGCAGTCTTCCTCTCTTTCACTGACCCTCTATCTTTCCAACCATGCTTTTCCTTTCCAAGGAATAGCCTTGCCTAGCTACAAGTCCAAATTAGGAAAGACAAAGCTTTGTCCTTCTTGCCTCCAAGCAGCACTCTGGCTGCACCCTTTCCAAGACATATCTGTTGTTCTTTTTGCAGTCCATGGTATGTTCAGTACTTTTCTGCAGCACAACTCAAAGGCATCAATTATTTTTCTGCCATCCTTACTCACTATCTAGCTCTCTAATGTGTTGCAGGTGACTGAGAAGACCATGGCCAGAATCAGGCACACATAGTCTTCAAACTGACATCTCTGCTCTTCATAATTTTGCAGAGGTCTCTAACATTAGACTTGCCCAATCTAATACATTTTCTGATTTCTGGACTGCTGGTACCAAATGTTGATTATTGATCCAAAAAACGTGAAATCATTAACAGCTTCAATCTTTTCTCCATCTATTGTAATATTGACTGTGAGCCTGTGGTATGTATCTCTGTCTTCTTGATGTTGAGATGTAATCCATACCAGAGGCAGCAAGCATTTCACATTCTCCTCACTTTCATCAAGTAAAGTTGTGTCATCAACATAATGGAGGTTGTTGATGAGTCTTCCTCCAATCCTGATACGACACTCTTCTTCGGAGAGTCCAGATTCACTAATTATTTGCTCAGCATACAGACTGAACAGATATGGAGAAAGGATACAACTGTGACACACATCCTTCTTCATCTTAAATCATGCAGTGTTCCTGTTCTGTTTGTACAACAGCTTCTTGATCTAGATAGAGATTCTGTTTGAGCACAATTAAATGTCCTATTCATTTCAATGTGGGCCATAATTTGTTATAATCCACCCAGTCAAATGCCTTTGTATAGTTCTCTCTAAATTTCGGTCCCCTAGGACATAACCCAAGTCAGTTGGTTCAGTTTGTGGCACCTTGTGGTTGCTTACACACAGGGCACCAATAGGTGAACCTGCATGGAGAAGACACTCTTTAAGCCTGCATGTCTGTTTTAGTGTCAGTTATAGTTTAACACTTGACCATGCTAATGTGAAACCTATACTTGGACCAAGAGATAGCTGTCAAAACAGGGCAAGAAGACACTGCATGGTTCAAAATTGAAAAGGGGGTCGGCCAGGGGTTTATTCTGTCTCCATACCTTTTCAATCTGTATGCACAACAGATCATTCAGGACACTGGGCTATACGAGGAGGAATGTGGCATCAGGATTGGTGGAAGGATCATCAACAACCTGCGTTATATAGATGACACAACCCTGCTTGCTGAAACTGACAAAAACCTGAAACTTTTCCTGCAGAAGGTCAAGGACTGCAGGCTTCAATACAGATTGAAGCTCAACATCAAGAAAACAAAGATTCTCATCACTGGGCCAAGTGGCAGCATCTGTATGCATGATGAAGAGATTGAGATAGTTAACAGTTTTAGTTTGCTTGGCTCCACAGTCAACACTCTTGGTACCAGCAGCCAGGAAATCAAGAGATGTATTGCATTTGGAAAGTCAGCTGTCAGGGACCTCTCCAAAGTACTGAGGGGCAACGATGTCAGACTGGAGACTAAGGTGTGCCTGATCTGGGCTACAGTCTTCACAATTGCATACTATACACATCAGAGAGCTGGACAGTGACTAGGGATGATTGAAAGAGAATTGATACCTTTGAGCTGTGGTGCTGGAGAAGAGTGTTGAATATACCATGGACTGCTAGGAGAACAAACAGGTTTGTCCTGGAGAGGGTGAAGCCGGAGGCTGCTCTTTGGAGTCAAGGATTCTGAAGCTTCGTCTGACATACTTTGGACATGTTGCAAAGAGGGACCAATCCTTGGAGAGGGACATCATGTTTGGGAGAGTGAAGGGACAGCACCAGAGAAGAAGACCCTCAATGAGATGGACAATTCAGTGACTGGGGTGATGGGAGTAAATGTGTCAGAGATAGTGAGACTGGCACAGGATAGAGCTGGATTTAGGGCTCTTGTACATAGGGTCACTATGAGTTACAAGTCACTTGATGGCACATAACAACAACAATGGTTTAATACAGCTGCCACTTATAGCTATTATGAAACTGAGAAACGCTCAGTGCTAAGCTAAGACTTATGTCAACCTCAAATAAGACTGATGAGGAAAGGAAAGAGAAAGGATAGTACTGGGCCATCATCAGTATGCAGCTCATCCCAGCTCATCTGTCAGAGCAGAGCTGAAAACACAGCCTCTACACAGCTGAGTCACAGACTCTGCCCCAGCGCCCACCTCCAAAAACATGCACGTTCTCCTGCAGCACCGTTGTCATCTGGAGCTCCTGAATCTTTGAGCAGTGACCCTTGGGTAGCAGGACGATAATGTCCACATTCTTTGTCCCCTGAACACTCTCGATGGCAGCACTCCCTGTGTCCCCAGATGTTCCTGGAAGGGAAAAAAGAATTTTCCCCTTTGGGACAAGGACACAGACAAAAGAAAAAGTGGCCCCCAAAACTTGCTATCAAATATGGTGATGTCTGCTTTCAAATACTTGGTAGGTCGATGCCCACTCTTTGAACTTCCAAGAGAATCCAGGATGTTCATGGACCTGGAGCCACACAGTAGTATGTATTTAAAAATAGCATGGTGAGAAATATAGTCTTCACTCGCCTGTGCAAGCGGTCCCTGGAACAAGAGGAGGTTAAGAGCCTTCTCTAGAAGGACCCACAGCACATGCCCAGAGAGAGAAAGCAGGAAGAGAAGCCTGTAAACAGACATACAGACAAATGTTTGGACTCAGGCACTCACAAGGACACCCACCTACCACCACGGTAATATGCTCCTTCCGCTTCTGCAGGAAGTACTGCAGGAACTGACCAGTACAGCACAATGATAGGTCCTTAAATGCATGTGTGGGCCCATGCCACAGCTCCAGCACATTCAGCCCGTCCCTCAGTCTGCACAGGTGGACCACCTCCCTGTGGCGAAACCTGCTGAAGGCTCGATCAATCAAATCTGCAAGAACAGTGGGACAGCACAGGAAGAGCATTCTCTCAGCCCTCAAAATCCCTCTCAAGCACTTAAGTTTCCAGCCTCTCCTGTTGTCAAAGAATTTCGGACTCCTGAGTACCTTTATAGGACAGGGTTGAACTGCCCACAGGGGCTTCCAATGCTGTCACTTTTTTTTTTAAATTATTATTAAATTTTATTAGTTTTAATGAACATTTACAGAGATTTTGGGTTTTCATTCATTCATTGCTGCACTGTCAATGCTGTCACTTTTTTTTTTAATTATTATTAAATTTTATTAGTTTTAATGAACATTTACAAAGATTTTGGGTTTTCATTCATTCATTGCTGCACTGTCAATGCTGTCACTTTTAAGGAAGCAGACTGCCACATCTTTCTCTCATTCTGTTCCCTCTTATCAGATTAAAAAAATAAACAACAAAGACATTTATGAATACAAGGTGTAACTCATGATCTCCAATCCACTGCTATCAAGTCAATTCCAGCTCAACGCCACCCTCCATCAGGTCTCCACGACTGTAAACCTTTATGGGAGGAGACTGCTGCCTCTCGCACAGCATCTGGTGAATTTGAACAGCTGACCTTCTGGTTAGCAGCACAAAACATAATGCACTATGCTCTTTATGTAATATATATATATATACATACCTGTACAAAAATATGAAAAGGCAAACATTAAACTACTTATAAATTCCTCAAAGTGTTTCCCTTAAAAGTTGAGTTTTTCACTTTTACGTATGTTTGTATAAGACAGTATGCATTTTAAAAATTGTTAAATTTAGACAATTATGTAAAACATCTTATGTATATTTTTCTTCCTAAGACAATAAAATGTACATGTTTATTTGTCCTATCTGTCTCATCACTAAATCACACACTGGAAATATTTCACTTTGGTTGAGATTGTACACGATCCTACTTAAGTCAGGGAGCACTGTGATCTGTCAGGTGAGGTTACTGTGCATAGTAGGTGTTTGGGAGTACTAGTGGCCTAGTTGGTAAGAAGTTGCACTATCAACACAAAAGCAAGTGGTTCAAATTCAGCAGCTGCCCCATAGAAGCAAGATGGGCAACCTCATCCCAACTGTTCTACAGGCTCTGAAGACGCAGTAGAAGGTCAGCTATAAGTCGATTCTGACTTGACAGCAATGTTTTGGGTTTTTTTGTTTAGTTCACTTAAGCCAAGATAGTCTGTTGCAGTGTTTCTCTAACTTCAGTTGACAAATCAACCATATGTAATCTTGCTACATTGTAGACATGGGTTCAGTGGTTTGAGAAGGTACAGAATTTCTAATAAGCGCCTAGGTAACACAAGCCCTGCTACTAATCATGGGGCCACAATTTTAGTGGTTCTTTCCTCCTCCTTATCCCCAAACTCCCACCATTATTTATGGATTATATCTGTGCTTCACAAAGTATGGTCCAGAGACCTGCAGCACAAAGACCACAGGAAATCTGATAAACATTCACTGTTAAGTCAAGCCAGCTCTGATTCAGGGTCACACTCTGTGTCAAAGTAGAACTGTACACTACAGCTTTTAGAGTGAATGATTTTTGGAATGTTGTTGTTAAGTATATTGGAGGCAAGTATGATTCATAGCAATACGATGAACAACAGATCTGAGCCCTGTCCTATCCCATGCCATTCTCATCATCTCTGACACCCCTGAGTCACTGCGTCAGTCCATCCTGTTGAGAGCCTTCCTCTCTTTTGCCAACACTCAACTTTTCCAAGCATGATGTCCTTATCCGAGGAAAAGTCTCTCCTAGCAACATGCCCAAAGTATGTGAAATGAAGCTGTATCATTTTTGCCTACAAAGAGCATTCTGGCTGTACTTTCTCAAAGACATACCTATTTATTCTTTCAACACTTTATGAGATATTTAGCAATCTTCAACAACACAGCTATAAGGAATCAATTCTTCTGTCATCTTTATTCACTGTCCCGCTCTCAGATGGATACCTTGGTCTTTAAACAGACATCATTTTTCCTGAGTAATTAGGAGTGGTCCCTGATTGCAAAGTTGCCTATGTTCCCTGATCTCATCACTGCTAGTGCCAAGAGTGTTGACTGTGGATCTAAGTAAGATGAAATTGTTGACAATGGCAATCTTTTCCCTGATCTCATGACTGCTAGTGCCAAGAGAGTTGATTATGGATCTAAGTAAGATGAAATTGTTGACAATGGCAATTTTTTCTCTCTCATGATATAGTTTATTCATTTAGTGGTAAGGATTTTTATCTTTCTGATGCTGAAATTTAATCTATAATGAAGTCTTTTTCCAAAGACTTTTTCCTGATTGTATACTTGAACCTGCAACCTTTCAGCCAACAACTAAGCATATCAATGGACTTCTTAGACACTACGTGGAAACTCAGAATTCTCAAGTCCCACTCAAACCTGTTGAATCAGGGCCTGCTTTTAATCTCCAGGGGATTAGTAAACAATCTACAGTTTTGGGCAATCTCAACTTTCTTTCTTGGAATCACTATCTAAGAAAACAACAATAAATAAAGCAACTTAGGGATTTTAACAGGAGGATTATCAGCAGGAAGGAAATACTCCAACGTTCAAGCCACTCAGGGTGACTGTGAAATTTCTAGTCTACGAAAGGTTTATTTAAAAATTAAGGGGGGGGGAATAAACAAAATTAAAAATAAATAAAGGGAAAAAGGTTTCTGTAAGTCCTTTTTAGCACTCATCATACTGAAGGTGAGGAGCTGGGACTCCGGGAAAGTTACCTAGTCTATAGCAGAGAGTGGAACTGTCCAGTATGGTTTCAAATCTGTTAAGGTAAAGAGCTGTGCTGGCAACCTTCAGGTATGGTATTCTAATACATAAATCGACCAACTGCTCTAAGGATGGGCAATCTCCTCCCAAGCAATTTTCTGCCTTTGAAAACCAACTGGAGGGTCAGCTATAGGCTGATTCTGACATGACATTACATAACAACAGAAAAGTTACTGGTTCTAGGATTCTAGGCTCTGAAAAAGTTCTTGTGGTGTGAGATAAGGGCTTTCTTATCCACTGGGTGTCTATGTCAGGTTGAGTTAGGTGTTGGGAGCTTAGCATCTAAGTCATCTCTGGTAATGAGTGCAGGGCCAATAAAGAGGGCACACAGCTCCTTGACCAGGCTGGGGTAGGAGAGGGCGCTCCACTTCAGCAGGGTCTCTCTGTCTAGCTGTGGAAGCTCTTCAGGCATGAAGAGGCCCCCATCAGGTGCATAGCCAGAGAAGAGGGTCCCTTCAAAGTCCACACAAGGGGCCACTCCCCGGGTGCTGACATACTTCATGGTCCTGGAGTCCTGCAGAGGGTATAGTGTAAGAACTTCTCAGTGTCCACCACTGTATTAGGGCACTGCTAAACACACACAGCGTTTCAGCTAGCCACGGACCACCATTCACTGAGGCGATTTCCATCGAGGTAAGGTGACATGATTCATGATGCCCCAGAATGTGAGGAGACCCAGAGTTTCACAGTAGCATTCATCTGTCACTGTGCAAATCATGATTTCTACTCAAAATGAAGAAACTCTACTAACCTACTAACAAAGAAGCAGAAGTCACAATAGAACAAGGGAACACTGCATGGTTTAAAAAGAAAAAGTGTTTGTCAAGCTTTTTCTCCGTACCAATCTGTATCCTGAACAAATGCTGAACTATATGAAGACGAATGTGGCATCAGCATCAGAGGAAGGCTCATCAATAACCTACATTATTCAGATGACACAATCTTGCTTGCAGAAAGTGAGTAAGACTTAAAGCACTTAGTGAGGATGAGCAAAGACTACAGCCTTCAATACATTTCAACATCAAGGAAACAAAAATCCTCACCACTGGAACAATAGGCAACATTATGGTAGAGAAAAAACTGAAGTTGTCAAGGGTTTCAACTCATTTGGATCCAAAGCACCATCTATGGTAGCAGGAGTGAAGAACTCAAGACATATCACCTTGTGAAAACCTGCTGCCAAGGACCTCTCCAAAAGTCTACAGAGCAAGAATGTCAGTGTAAAGATTAACGTGTGCCCAATTCAAGATACGGTATTTCCCATTGCTTCCTATACATCTGAAATTAGGACAATGAACAGAGAAGGCCAAAGAACTGATGCTTTGAATTGTGATGCTGGCAAAGAGTACTGAAAATTTCATGGGCTGCCCAAAGAACAGACACATCTGTCTTGGAGGACGTGCAAGCAGATTGTGCCTGGGAGGCAAGGACGTTGCAAGGCAGTCTCACAGACTTTGGGGATGTTGTCAAGAGGGACCAGTCCTTAGAAAAATTAAACATACTGGGAAAAGCAGACAAAATGAAAGAGAAGATCTCTTCCTACAGTGAGAGAGGAAGACCACAACAAGATGGATTGACACAGTGATCGCAATAGTGGACATGAGCATGATGAAGACGGTGATGACGACGCAGGATCAAGGTCCAGATCTAGTGCAATGAATTATATTCAATTTAGTGGCACCTGGCAATATTTTGCTATTCTCCTTGATAAGGAGGCCACAGACTAAATCACCCAGGAGAGGAGAAACCTGTTCTGGTCTCTGGGTTATGTTCCCATGAACCCTTAAGGGGCTAACTCACAGATCTACTGCCAGCCTCAAAGGAAGAAATTCCCAAGGAGCTATACTCTCAGGCCAATAGCATAAAGTGAGAGGGGACCTTTACACCTATGAGTTCAAGGTAAGGTAAGACAAGTATCAAAGAGAAAATGAAAACAAACGAAGTTATATTCAACTCACAGAGACTCCATATGTATCAGAGGAATTTCTCCAGAAGTTTCAATGGCTGATTTTTTAGAGAGTGGATTACAAAGTCTTTTAGCTTTTCAAGTGCACCAGGTGGGCTCGAACAACCAAACTTTGACTTAGCAGCCAACTGCATAACCCTCTGCCCTGCTCCCGGAGCCAACCAGGCAGCCAGACCCAGAAACAAGTCACCCAGCAGAGGTGGCCAAGTTCACGAAAGAGTATTTTTGCTGGGAGCTGGGCTAGTGACCTAAGAAGGTAAGACTTTGTCACTTGTCTTGGAGACTATTCCAAAATGGAGGAGGGCAGAAAAATCTGAGCAATAACATGGTTGAACTTCAAACGACCAGGGTGGGGGAGGGGATGACATAAAATCCTGGTCCTGAGTGTGGCTCTCCTGGAGCAAAGTCCTGCCTCTGGTCACCGGTACCTCAGGTTAGGTCCTGAGACCAAGCAGCCCTCAGGAGGTTCCCAGGAACCAAAAGTTGCAGACCCAGCCTCCGGTAACATTCTAGGGAGCCACAGGTGGCATAAAGTACCGGACACTTTACCCTTCCTGGTCCCTTCCAGTAGGAGGGCAGACTAGTGGTCACAGTGAGGGACACGGAGGCCATATTGCCACGCTGAGTGTCAGGAGGAGCGAAACCGCCTAGCATCAGATTGAGGCGCAGGGCAGAGGCCTTAGAGGCGCGCAGAAGGCGCAGACACGCGAGCGCACTCAAGGGGGCGGGATCTGGAGGAGGAAGCACGGGATCCAGGCTTGAGGGTCTGGATCCTAGGGGTCCCAGCTGCGGTGGCCACAGTCCTCGGGATCGGGGTTCTGGTCCTCGGGGAACCTGCAGGGACCCTCTGCACCACCCACAGGGAAGGGCGTGCGCGGTTACCGTCTTGGCGCTGGGCAGCGGGGAGAAGTAAGAGGCGCACTCAGCGAGATATGTGAATTGGAACCTCTCCTTGAGCCCAGGGCGCTGGGCCCTGGCTTCCGGCTCCTGGCTTCCGGTTGAACTGGCGGTAATGATTCTAAAAGTCGGGAAAGAAGCCAAAGGGCAAAAGAGAGGGGTGTGGGGACGAGCCTGGCCTAGAAAGCCCAAGGCGATCATAGAAACCTGCGCTGGCTTTTCAGAAGTGTGAGGGAGATCTGGTGGCTTAGTGGGGAAGGAGCTGTGCAGCTGACCTTTAGGCTAGGCATTAAAATCCACCAGCGTCTCTATGGGAAGAAGATGGGCAATCTTCTTCCATGGGATTTACAACTTTGCGTGAATAAAGCGCTCCTGAGCACTTTTTTCCCCCCAGGGCAGCATCTGTTTATTGAAATATGTCAACTGGTATTACATTAATACCTGGGGCTTTGTTTTTTGCCAAGTCCTTCAGAGAAACCTGAACCTTCTCCTTCATCACCATTGCCTCGTGATCATATGTTGTTTCTTGAAATTCTTCTGTGTCAGCCAGTTCTTTCTGATACAGTGACTCTGTATACTTCTTCCATCTTGTTTTTGGTGTTGGGTGGTTTTTTTTTGTTGTTGTTGTTGTTGTTGTTTATTAATTTTAATAGACATTTACAGAGGTTTTGGATTTCCATTCATTCATTGCCACACTTTTCTCCCTGCCCACCCCTCCCCACCAGTTCGCTGAGCACTTTTTTTTTTGTTAGTATATGTGCTGCCGAAGCGAGCACGAGCACTTTTTTTAAAGCTCAAGTTTTTCACCCTTACTGTTGTTAGCTGCTCTCCAGCAGAGGACAGCCCTGCAGATTTATTTGTGGAAATGGACTCTAATAAATGGGTGGTGGAGGACCCAGAGGTGGGGAGATGTCTATAAGGAACCTGGTTGGCTCTAGACCTCACCAGCTCAGAATTGGGGTCGATGCAGAGTTGTGGTGACCCGTCAGAACCAGGGGAACTGTCCTTATGGGATTTTCAATAACTGGTGTCTTAGAAGTAGATCTGCAGATTTCTTCCAAAGCACCTCTCTCTCTCATTAGCCATGGTGATAGATAATGCCACTCCAGCAGGTTTTCAGAGGCAGTAAATCCATGGGAGGACATTGTCCATTTTTCTTCTGCTGAGCACTTGGTGAATTAGAACCTAATGACTTCAGATTCCTAGCAGCTCCTTACCATTAGACCACCCATTAAGGGGAAGGGAAGATCAACCTGAAGTGAAGGGTTGATCAAGCAATATGTTGTTGTTTTTGTGTACCTAGAGATATTGTAGCTGATGTTAGATGGATCTTGGCTGAAAGCAGGGAATACCAGAGGAATGTCTATCTGTGTTTCATTGACTATGCAAAGGCATT